CTCCTCCGGACTCAAAGAATACTCCCCCAAAGAGGGCCCGTCGTTTCTCAAAAAGTGTTTCCCATGACCCTGATATTGAGCAACCCCCCTGATGAAGAAGTTTGGGTTTACACCAGAACCCTTCTATGTATACTGAGAACATCATCGCCCCCAATTAGGGAGACATCTTATATAACAATCTAATGTAAAAATTATGCTATTTACCATGGCTGGACACCACCTGTAAGAAGCCATTGTCACGTAATTCTATAAACTGGGCAGAAAATTATTGCCTTCATTGTCGCATAAATATCCGTTGTGTAATCGCGAAAAAAAGCAATTGCAACTTGTATAATTACTACCAATTCAGAGTCATGTACTTGTATATCTGTTATATCTATGTGACTGATGGGTTAGTATTATACCCCTTAAAGAATATCTTATCATTTCACGTACACTTTTTAAATTACACCAAAGTGGTTGGGCCACTTACCTTTTATATCCTACCTCTTTCCCCCCTCCCACCCTTTTCCAAAATTTCTATCCTTACCCATCCTTCTTCCTTGTCCAGACCAGAGCTTTGGTGAGATGGGTAAGAACAAGAACATCCATCATCTTGGCTCTCCATGTTTCGGGACCCCCATGGGGCTCCAGGTTTTCCCAGTCACTCTCCTTGTGATTGATATCACCCATAACTAGTAACTTTGCTCCCCCCATGTGTGCTCTCCTGGCCACCTCGGCTAGTGTGTCGATCATTGCTCTGTTGCTCTCATCGTATTCTTCTCCTGGCCTCCTGCAGTTCTGTGGTGGGTTGTACACCACTGCAATTATCACCTTATGTCCCTCAGTCTGGATTGTTCCTACAAAGTAGTCCCTTTCGCCCGTGCCGTGTGTGTGTGTGTGTGTGTGTGTGTGTGTGTGTGTGTGTGTGTGTGTGTGTGTGTGTGTGTGTGTGTGTGTGTGTGTGAACACGTACGTACACACGGTAAGAGTCCCTTAGATAATGACTAAAGAATTATGAACACGCTTCTCCCATAGAAGCCAAGTAATTGCAAGTACACACACACACATGTAAGGAAAAAAGTAAAAGATTTGTCGATATCTTACATATTTGTGGATAAACATTGCAATAATCCAAGAGTGCAAAATGTTTAACAGGATGCTGCTTCACTCACAATATAGTACTATCTTCCTGGAATCACTAACAACCTAACACCAGAGTGCTAAGAGCAGAGGCAAAATCTCTAACTTACGGTGTCAGCACACTGCTGGCAAGACAGTTACTGAATGAATAATGGTGAATGTTTACCCTTTTGGGTTTACACTACCTTATGGGGAAGCTGCCATGACAAAATATACCAGAATGTAAAATTTTAAAAGCATCACCAGCCAGTAGGCTTATGAAATGACCAAGGTCAACTTTTCCTTTGTTCGAAGAACATTCAGTATATTAAACAGTCACTAAACCCGTAGGTTTTTTTTTTTACAGCGATTAAGGTGGCAGCGGCGACAGTGTTTAATTCGATCTTTCATGACAGAGATCTTTATGCCGGTGGAGCGATCTTGATCCACGAAATTGCAGCCTCTCATTCTCCAGGTGCTGTATGACCCTACGGGTTCAGTGCTTTCCCCATGAAGAAAAAATAATCAGCGATGTGTAATACATGCAGCAGCGGCCTTGTAGTCGTCACGAGTGTTATTACACAACCACATGCAGATGTAAAAAAAACAACTGCTGATTTTTTAATTAAAAGTGAAGACATCTGGTGAATAATGTAGAAACATATAAATACTCTGAATCAGTCATGAAAAAAAATATGGAAACTATGAACACAAACAAGAATGTCGGTCGAGGTGTCCCGTAGTTCGATCACTAGGGCACTTAGCTCACACACTGAGGTCCAGAGTTCGAGTATCCCCAGTACGGCTGGAAAACATTAGCGACGTGTTTCCTTAAGACACCTGCTGTCCCCGTTCACCCATCAGTATAAAATAGGTACCTGGGTGTTAGTGGACTGGTGGGTCGCATCCTGGGACAAAACTGACCTAATTTGCCCGAAATGCTCAGCATAACAAGAGGCTTTCTATATAGTAGTATGTCACTGATGTCAGCTTGGTCTGTATACCTTGTACATGTACTTGTAGTACATAATATATTACATGTACACAGTGTAAAGTTAACTACATACTAAAGATGAGAAAATTTCAACATCTCACTATAAAAGATTTGTACGACAAGTCTGGTGAAGAACTGCGAGTCAAGGATCATGTACGTGAGGGTTTAACACATGCCCTCGTCTCTCGTTAACCAATTCTTTCAGGCTGACAGGATCAGAATCTATTTGCATCCTTTACAAGACCTATTCCAGTGATGGCACCAAGAGCGCATCTCTCAAGTGAGAAGCCTGACACTGATAGTGTCACGTTCTAATTACACTAAGAGGTGTCGAAATTAATTCACTGGTTCGGTTGGTAGCGTCCTCCGCCCACACACAAGAGACCAGATAGCTCCCTGGCACGGGCGAAACGTTGGATTCTTCTTGCACCACCTGATGCCCTCGATCACTAAGACATCTGGGTGTTAGGTCAAGTGTTGTTGGTCAAATCCTGGGGGAAAAAGAAATGGACCGCCAATGAAAATAAGACAGTTGTCCTGATGAAGCACAGTATCCTGGGTTACTAATCCTCGGGTTAATAATCTGAAAGAAATCTTCCTGATGAACTGGCGAAGCTATACGTCTTCAAAGAAGGAGTACATTACAATCTTGGGCTGTCATTTTGCATGGATTTTCGAAACACTTGGTGTATCAGATGTGGAAAATACTGTATATATTTTCCAGAAATACAGTAGTTATATGTATATAGATGGCCATACTGTATTTAATAAAAATTATGTTATAAAAAATGGGAAGCTGCGCCTGCGCAGAAGGGACTCGCCATTGTTTTTTGAATGAACCAAGAAAACGTTAGTGAATGGGAAGAATTTTTCGTGCTCTAGAGGTTAAAATTGGGCTGACATCTCTCAAATAGGAGGTGAAATTGTTGGATGTGTATTCCTGCATAACTTGAGATCAGGCGACTAGACAAAACAGCTCCAGGAACCTCAGATAAGTCTGTGATGTTTTAACTCTGGCCAGTGTTATTTTCATAGTGAGGTTTTCCGAGTATGATACACCTTGATCTCCAGTCAAATTGGCGAGTGATTTTAAGATATTCTCCTTCTGTTAGGTAAATGTGTCTATATATAATCCTTTATTAATTTAATATAGTCCACAAATTTATATATTTACCAGAATTCCTGGTGATGCATATTTCATTTGTAATTAATAGTCTAGAGCAACTTGTGATACGACAGTGGTAGGTATCGAAGGGGGACATTTTTGCGACCTAGGTGTCCCAAATTCCTACTTGTCTATGTAATTGATAAATAATAATTATCTTTATCATCATTTACTGTTATGTACATAATAAGTTACATTCAGATAATGCAATTTTCCACATCAGACATGTTTATTCTGTTGCAATTCTCCAGGTTTCAAACTAAATGGTTACAACTATAATCATAATTTATGAAAGGGTGAAGCAGTAAGCCAGTGGAAGGCCTCTGTCAGATGACCAAAAGCTCCAACGGCGGCTCATCCTCTAAGACCCGCGTCAGGAAACACTTGTCATGTTTCCTGACGAACCTTACCTAATCTCCAGGTTTCGAGAAATTCTACTCTCACTGCCTAGCCCTGGGCCTGCCTTGACGTTCATACTCTGTCCTATATATACGTATGAAGCGCACAGTATTATATAGTTTACTCTAAATATTTATACATGTTGTGCAAAGAATTTTGAACAGCGGTGTGTGTTGTCTGGATTATTATTATAATCAAAAAGAAGCGCTAAGCCACAAGGGCTATACAGCGTGTGTTGTCTGGAACCTAACTAGGCGATTATTCCAACAACTGATTTCTGTTGGGTAACAACGATGAGCAAAATATTGAACATACGACAGCAAGAGTATAGCGCTGCTGCTGTAGCTACAAACGTAAATGGCTATTAAGGCAGCTTCACGTTCAATATAGGTAAGATAATCAGAAACCTGTGAGGTCACGTTCAAAAACCTCAGCACAGTTGTGTTGCTCCTGGCAACAGTCGTGGCCTCCCGGATCTTGAGTCTGCCCTGCCTGAGGCGCTGCTCTCCTATAGTACAAAGTAAATTTATTCTTATTAAGAGCGCTCATTTACTTTTTCGAGGTCTAACTCAGAGCAATGTCTCGCCCCCCATTTGATATATATACATGGCTATTTTTTCTGGGCCCAGGATTAAATTCCTTCATACCCACATGACT